AGGAGGCGACGGCGGGGGAGAAGGAGGAGGAGGAGGAGGAAGAGGAGGAGGAGGAGGAGGAGGAAGACGTGGAGGAGGAGGAGGAGGAGGAGGAGGAAAATGAGGAAGAGGAGGAGGAGGAGGAGGAGGAGGAGGAGAAGGAGGCGGCGGAGGAGGAGGATGTGCATGAAGGGGGTAGATGGGGCGGAGAGCGAGGAGGAAGAGGCGGGGTAGGAGGAGGGTCACAAGGATGGTGTTGATGATGATGATGATGATGATGATGATGATGATGCTGATGATGACGATGATGATGATGATGATGATGATGATGATGCTGATGCTGATGCCGATGCTGATGCTGATGCTGATGCTGCTGCTGATGATGATGACGATGATGACGATGATGATGACGATGATGATGCTGCTGCTGATGATGATGATGCTGCTGATTATGATGACGATGCTGATGATGATGATGACGTTGACGATGATGAGGATGAGGATGAGGATGACGATGATGACGATGATGATGATGCTGCTGCTGATGATGATGATGATGCTGATGCTGATGCTGATGCTGATGCTGATGATGCTGATGATGATGCTGATGATGCTGCTGCTGATGATGATGGTGATGATGATGCTGCTGCTGATGATGATTATGATGATGATGATGATGATGATGATGATGATGATGATGATGATGATGATGATGATGATGATGATGATGATGATGATGATGATGATGATGATGTGATGATGATGATGATGATGATGATGATGAGGATGAGGAGGAGGAGGAGGAGGAGGAGGAAGGAGGAGGAGGAGGAGGAGGAGGGGGAACATATGGAGGAGAAAGAGGAGGAGGTGGAGGAGGAGAAGGAGGACTAGGACGAGGATGAGGAGGAGAAGGATGATATGCAGAAGGAGGAGGAGGAGGAGGAGGAGGAGGCGGAGGAGGAGGAGGAGGAGGAGGAGGAGGAGGAGGAGGAGGAGGAGGAGGGCGGAGTGATGCTGCGGGCGAAACAGCGCCTCACGGGTCGGCAAAGAAAGAAGAGAAGGGTTCAGGAGCCTCCTTGGGCGCGAGTCAGGTGGAGACTGCCGGCTCCTGCCTATTCAGCATGTGCAGAGAGCAGGAGCCGCCCCTGGAGGACCTCGTGTGTGGCACGGCCTACTACTGCGCGCCGGAGGCGCCGCGTCCTGGGGGAGGCAAGGGGGAGGGCGTCAGGGGCGTCAGGAGGATGGGCTAAGGGGGGACGACATGTTTCGGGTTCGAGGCATTCGGGCGTTTTCGTCGTTTCTCGGCGGCTTTCCAGCCTCACGATGCTTTCCATCAGCTGCACCTCGCCGAGAGCGTTCCAGGGTGCCTGGACCGTCCCGAACGGCCGCGGGGGAGCCGAGTAATGACCCGAAAGCGACAAGGCATTGTTAGGGGGGATAGGTTAGGGGGGGGGGATGCATCGACCCCTAATCGCCCATCCATCGCCGATGTGGGCCCGATAGCCCACCCCCGCCCAGGAGCGTGCGGATTCGCTATCGGGGGCCCATTGCCGTTGTGTTGGCGATGTAGCGCCGATTCCAGGTCGATGCTTCCCCTCGGAGCCGGTACCCCCTTAACGTGGCACCGCAGGAGGGAGAGAAGTGTCCTCGTTTCTCGCAGAAGCCATCGCTCTGGATGAGGTTGTCCAGGCATCGGCACAACTATTGTCGTTCAAGGCGCGGTCGTCGTCCAGGTGGCGTAGTACGCGGAAAGAGTTTAGTCGAAGCGGAGATCCCCATACGTGTATCTCATTTCCTGGCACGTCCCGCTGTGAGTGTCTCTCAGTGAGTGGAGAGCGAGTCCAAGTGGACGACGGGTACGATTTCTTGCCAGGTACTCAGGTATTTGACCGTCGGCTGACAAGAATCAGAAGGCGCCGCATGCCGTCGATGACCGGTTCAAGACGTAAACGTAACCCCATCTGCAATTTGGAGGCCCTCGTGAAATCTCTGGGGAAGCTGCAGCCGAAGCAAGAGCGACTGCGTTGGATAAGGGTGTCCAGGGTCACTCGGCCGCAACGTGCAAACGAACACGCTGAAGCAACACAGCATGGCGGGCACGACGACGACGATGACGCAGATGATGAAGCCGACCGTGACGATCACACGGAGTGACTCGGGTGTAAGTCGGGTCAGGACGGAGTGATTTCCCATCCCCTGTTTTGTGGGGCGGGGTGAGCATCACCTTGTTTTATAGTGTATGTACTACACCTTAGGCGATGCTTAAGAGAACCGAAGTTTTCGGCCAGAGTCTCGATTATTCTTAACGTTTCAATGTAAATCCTAAGATTTCAATAGAAATTGTGGGTTTTTTTAGTCAAGTTCTGAGACTATGAATTTCTTAACCCATGATTTCTAAAGCATTTCGCAGGGTGTATATTATTCCAGGGTGCGAGCCCCTGGGTTCGGAACCGCAGCTGGACCAGAAGCCCTGCGCTACGATTCTACGGGGGGCGGGGGGTCTCGGCGGGTGACATGCTGCGGTCAAAACTACCCTCTACAGGAGGAATCTTTAAGCATAGTCCAAAAATAATGTGGGACCATTTTTCGAGCATGCGTAGGTAGGAAAGTGAGGAGGCCATATCCCAGAACGTGGCCTCCAACAGCGACAAGACCAATGACTATACAAAAACAGCAGCCCGCCTCGTGGTTCCGGGCAGGCAGCGCGGTCCGGCGGAAGGGGGCGAAGAGGGGAGAAGCAGGCAGACGACGACGAACGCCCAGGCGGGAGGCCAGGGCCAGCGGGACAGGCGGGCAGAAAAAGGGCAGCCAGAAAAAGAGCATTTTTGGAACACTTTTGAATATTTCCGTTTTTTTCTCTCCATTTTTTTGTCCAAAATCCCCCTGTAGGGGGGCATGCCCGACCTACGGGTACGAGGACGACAACGACGACGACGGCGGCGGTTACGATGAGGGACAGCGACGACGGCGACGACGACACCAACTCACAAATAGTCGGTGAGCAGGTCCCTCCCTTCTCCTCTCTCTTCCTCCTCGTCGTACCCCCTCCCTGCTCATCATCCTTCATCCCTTTTCCTTTCTCCTGGGTCCGCCTCCTTCCTCCTCCGTCCTCTCTCATCCTCCCCGGCGGCCGTCGTTCTCTCTCCTTCTGCGTCCTCCTCTCTTCTCCTCCACGTCATCCCTCCTCCTCCGTCCTCCCTCCTCCTCCTTCTCCCTGGCAGGTGCCCCCCCTTCATGGCGGGCCCCCTCCCCTCTTCTTCGTGGCCAATCCTCGCCGTAGCCCCTCCCCTCGCTTCTCTCTCCTCCTGCGTTCTCCTAATTCTCATGGTGCCCACATCCCAGAGCGGACTTCGTTCGGAAAACACTAGGATGGGCCCAGAGTGTCCTGGAGAATTTCGTTCTGGATTTCGAGGTGAATATCGTGCGTTTTTTTTGGCCAGGAGTGAAGACTTAAAGACATCCACGTGAAATTCACTTCGTTTTTCGCTCGCCGTTTCGGGGTCTTGCATTGACAGACATCCACGCAAGAATCCGCTGGAGCACGTGTGCAGGGTCCGTGCAGTGATTCTTCCTCCGCCGTCCTCCCTGCTCCTTCCTGACGGTCGTCCATTTCCTTACATCGAGGTGCCGGGGTTGGACAGACCTCCTGCCCTGACACGTCGATTAGCAAATTGGCCGTTTTCGATTCGCGAGAGGGCGTCGCGGCCGTCATTTTTGCGGGTCAAGGTCCGTCGGTTTCGGTCCCAGGCCGTTTTCACTAGAGGGAGGTTTGCTGAAGGGAGGTTTGTCCACCGCCGAAGGTGCTCGTGGGGGCTCTGGAGTTGACGGGGGTGCATCCCCACACTCTGGCAGCGCCCGGGCGAGTGTCCTCCTGCCCCTCTTGGCCGCTCCCCCTTTGGGGGCTGAAGCCAGCGCCTCGCCGCTCCCCAGCGGTTCCTCCGTGGGGTGCTGAAGCCAACGCCTCGCTCGAGACATCCTCACAATCTGCTCCCTGGCGGCTCTCCCGTATGGTGCCGAAGGCAGCGCCTCGCTCACGACATCCTCACAGTCTTTTCTGGAAGCAAACGCGCTGGCGGGCCAAAGCAGTCGCACCGCCCGAGACATCCCAACAGTCTGGGCCTGACCGGGGCCTGGCGGCCCCCAATTGGAGTGCCAAAGCCAGCGCCTCACACGAGACAGCCGCACAGCTTGTTTTGAGAGCAGGGCGCTCTGGGCAACCAAACAGGCAAACCAACCGCTGGAGACATCCCCACAGCCTGCTTCGAAGTCCAATGAGTTTGGGCCACCAGCTTGGCAAACCGCTTGAGACATCCTCACACTCTGCTCTGAAAACAGAGGAGCTTGGGCCACCAAATAGGCAAGCCTCCGGAGACATCCCCACAATCTGGGCGCGGACGGGGGAGTATCCTACCCCCGGCGCTTCCCCCCCTGGGGTGCTGACCACCGCCTCGCTCGAAACACCACATTCTGCTCTGAAAACACAAGAACCTGGGCCACAGAACAGGCAAACCACCCGAGACATCCCCACAATCTGGGCGCGAACGGCGGAGTGAACATACTCCTGGCGGCTCTCCCTGGGGGTGTCGAAACCACCAGCTCGCTGGAGGCATCCTCACACTCTGCTCTGAAAGTGGACATGTATGAGGGAGGTGTAAACATGAACGGGGTTGAAATCCATGGAGGGCATTTTTTTGAGACCCGCCGTGGCGTGAACGGGAGAGTGTCCTACCCCCAGGCGGCTCCCCCCTAGGGTGCTGAAACCAGCGCCTCACACTCTGCTCTGAAAGCAGAGGAGTCTAGGCAACCAAATAGGCAAACTGCCTCAGAGATCCCCAGTCTTGACGCCACAACACTCGTGGCGGCTCTCCCTTCGAGCACTATCTGCGAAATTGAGTACGAGTGCGTCCCAAGTCCAGGTGCTAGTGAGGCTGAGTGTGAGTGAGTCTGAGTATGAGTGTGAGTGAGTCTGAGTGCGAGTGGGGCTGATTGAATGTGAGAGAGTCTGAGTGCGGGCGAGTACA